GACTCGTTGAAAAAAAAAAATATATATACAGTGGACCCCTACATAACGATTACTTCCGAATGCGACCAATTATTTAAGTGTATTTATGTAAGTGCGTTTGTACGTGTATGTTTGGGGATCTGAAATGGACTAATCTACTTCACAATATTTCTTATGGGAACAAATTCAGTCAGTACTGGCACCTGAACATACTTCTGGAGTGAAAAAATATCGTTAACCGGGGGTCCACTGGATATATTCGCCACTCACTATAAGCTAAGGATAAAAATAATTTAAGGTAAGTAATGTGTGTACTGCACATGCATTTTTTAGGCCTAGCTATATTGCTCACTTAATGTATGACAGTAAAAACATGTTATCAGGCAGTACAAACAGGTCCCTCTTGTACTATAGTGAAGAATCAGTTTTTTATTTTTATATACAGTGGAACCCAGGATTTCGTCCTTAATCCGTTCCAGGTCGGTCAGTCTAAATCCGAAACGTACGAAACCCGAAGTAACATTTCCCACAAGAAATAATGTAAATGCAATTAATCCGTTTCAGACACCCAAAAATATTAACAAAAAATAAATTTTATAGAGAATAACTATAGTGTTGTAGCTCTTCAGTGGTTAGCTCTTCCCTGTGGTTGTCCACCAACTCTTCCACATCATGGCCACTCACATCCAACCCCATGGACTTCCCCAAAGCCTCAATAGATTCCGCAACAGGCATAGAGTTGGCAAGTTTACACAAACTTATATTAAGTTAGTAATAGAACTAGGCATTAAAACACAATAAAAAGGAATATACATACACAGCACATTCATTACTTATCTTAAAATATTTGTAGTCTTAATGTAGGATGAGAGGTGAGTAGTATATTTAAGGAGGGCCCCGCTTTACGGCGTTCCGCTTTACGGCGTTCCGCTAATACGGACATTTCAAATTATGACCAAAACTCACTATACGGCTCCCCCCACCTGACTTTCTAATACGGTCACCGTGCCCCACCCTGTTTGTTTACATTCTCCATGAGCTCAGTAAGCACTAAGTCTCTCCATTTTGTCTGGAAACTCCAAAATTTCAAATGTTTTTAAAAGTTATTTCATATTTTATATATACTCTGATAATTATACTTATGTATACCTGTACCTAAATAAACTTACACACATCAAGTCATTTAAATGTCGTATATTTTCGTTAATATACACATTTCATTAATCCATCCATGATATTTTTTCAAAATTATATAATAAACACGATGCATAACATATAAAATAAGATTTAAAAACACCCCCCAGTAGAATAAATAAACATAAATGTGACGTGTGTAGCAGACGACTTGCACAAGTGGTGATAATAACAATACTGAGTCCCCATTAAATGTCGTATATTACGGTAATATACACATTTTCATTAATCCAGCCATGATATTTTTTCAAAATTTATAATAAAAACACGATGCATAACATATAATAAAATTTAAATAACCCCACAGTAGAATAAATAAAAAATAAATGTGAGCTGTTTTAGCAGACGACTTGCACAAGTGGGGGATAATAACAATACTGAGTCTCATTAAATGTCGTATATTACGGTAATATACACCATTTTCATTAATCCCGCCATGATATTTTTTTCAAATTTTTATAATAAACACTATAAAATAACATATAAAAAAGATAAATACACCCACAGTAGAATAAAAAACATAAATGGATCTCTGGTAGCAGACGACTTCCACAAGTGGACGCCATAATAACAATAGTCACGGAGTCTCATTAAATGTCGTATATTTTCGGTAATATACACATTTTCATTTAAACCATCCATGATATTTTTTTCAAAATTATATAATTTAAAAACGATGCATAACATATAATAAGATAAATACACCCCACAGTAGAATAAATAAACATAAATGTGATCTGTGGTAGCAGAGACTTCCACAAGTGGTAATAATAACAATAGTCACGGAGTCTCATTGTTTTGTTTACTCTGTGCCTGGCCTGTCACCTCTCATGTATTCATTCTTTCTCTCTCTCATTTATTCGTTTTATCTCATTTACTTACTCCTGACCCTACATTAAGACTACAAATATTTTAAGGTAAGTAATGAGTGAACTGTATATACATTTTATCGCTCTGGGATGCTTAACCCCTCAGGGAAGGTTCCTTGATGTTGGTGAGGGGCTCTTGATTTAGGGAATTGGATCTGTGCTCCAGTTCCCCGAATTAAGCCTGAATGCCTTCCACATCCCTCCCAGGCGCTGTATAATCCTACGGGTTTAGCGCTTCCCCTTGATTATAATAATAATAATAATAATGGGATGCTTAAATATCATAGAATAGTATGTGTGGGTGGGGTGGCCTGGTGAAATAGCCTGCCTATTACAATACATACCACACTTGATTTCTTACAATAAATACTACTTGTCTCACCCTAGATTAAGACTATAAATATTTTAAGGTAAGTAATGAGTGCACTATGTGTGTATTGTACCTTTTTATTGTTTTTTGATGCCTGGTTCTATTGCTAACTTAATATATGTTAGTGTAAACTTGTTATCTAGTGTTTGTATGCATTTATAAGTGGAAAAAAAGGGTGTTCCACTTTACGGCGATTTCCGCTTTACGGCGGTAGCCTGGAACCTAACCCGCCGTATAAGTGGGGCCCTACTGTATTTGTAGTCCCAGGCAGACTACATCCGCCTGGGCTATATCTACCAGCTACATACACTGCAGCCCACAGCCATATTATTACCATCGACATACCATGTTCACTGAGTATCATTTCTAACAACTACCTTTAGATGCCATCATAAACAAAGGGAGAAGTAATGAATAATTTATGCCAAGAATTGTAAACAAAAGCATTATGTAAAGTGTATTAAGGGTGGTGACTGGGCCAGACGCAGATTCATACAGTTTTCTCTAACGCTGGACCAGAGAAAACTTAATGTTTTCCCTCCACCAACTCACCCCTTGATAGCATATAAGCACTGCATGTTTATATGCTATGTAATGTGTTTCATATATAATTCCGAAGAAAATATCAGACGGATTAATGAAAATGTCTATATTAACGTAAAATAAAACATTTAATGTGTCCAAGAATGAGTCACGAACGTATGAACAGCCCAGGCGGACATGTCTGATACGTACGATTTCCGGGTGGAGGTACGAAATCCGGACCAAAATTTCTCCCAAAAAAGTGGTCTTAATCTGAAATGTAAGATAGTCGGTGCATGCGAAATCTGGAGTTCCACTGCACCTCACTTTTCCCAGTAGTTTGCCTACTGGTGGGAAAAGTATGAAAGGGATGAAGAGGGAATAGAATGGGGTAAATAGAAAGAGCTATCAGTACTGTATTACTAATATAGCACATGAATATCCAATACAACGTATTCTTCCTGTATTATATATATTTTTTTTTAACAAGTCGGCCATCTCCCACTGAGGCAGGGTGACCCAAAAAGAAAGAAAATCCCCAAAAAGAAAATACTTTATCATCATTCAACTCTTTCACCTCACTCGCACATAATCACTGTTTTTGCAGAGGTGCTCAGAACACAACAGCTTAGAAGCATATACGTATAAAGATACGCAACATATCCCTCCAAACTGTCAATATGCCGAACCCCTCCTTTAGAGTGCAGGCATTGTACTTCCCATTTCCAGGACTCAAGTCCGGTTATATAAAAATAACTGGTTTTCCTGAATCCCTTCACTAAATATTACCCTGCTCACACTCCAACAGATTGTCAGGTCCCAAATACCATTCGTCTCCATTAACTCCTATTGAACACGCTCATGCACGCCTGCTGAAAGTCCAAGCCCCTCGCCCACAAAACCTCCTTTACCCCTTCCTTCCAACCTTTTCGAGGATGACCCCTACCCCGCCTTCCTTCCCCTACAGATTTAAATGCTCTCCATGCCATTCTACTTTGATCCATTCTCTCTAATGACCAAACCACCTCAACAACCCCTCCTCAGCCCTCTGACTAATACTTTCATTAACTCCACACCTTCTTCTAATTTCCACACTCCGAATTTTCTGCATAATATTTACACCACACATTGCCCTTAGACAGGACATCTCCACTGCCTCCAACCGCCTCCTCACTGCTGCATTCACAACCCAAGCTTCACACCCATATAAGAGTGTTGGTACTACTATACTTTCCTACATTCCCTTCTTTGCCTCCATAGATAATGTTTTTTGTCTCCACATATACCTCAATGCACCACTCACCTTTTTTTCCTCATCAATTCTATGATTAACCTCATCCTTCATAAATCCATCCGCCGACACGTCAACTCCCAAGTGTATGTAATTTGTAAACTAAACTAATTAACTGTACACTAAAGTATTTAAACATATTTTAACAATTATAAACCGAATGTACAAGAATACCAATATGGTAGCACAGCATATATGTATTCCATTTTTTTTTACCTTAGTGGCTGGCAGTAAGGTGACCCAAAGAAATCACATTCATTATCATTTATTCAGTCGCTGTCTTGTCAGAAGTGTACTGACAATGCAATTCAAATTACTCTCTGACTGTAGCATCCCCACACCTCCTTCAGAGTACATGCACTGTCCCTTCCACCTCCAAACCTCAAGTCTAGCTAACTGGTTTCCCTTGAATCCCTTCATAAATGTTACCTTGATCATACACTAACAGAATATCCATTAAAAAAAAAAAACACTTTGCTCCATTCATTCCTCACATGATTGAATTACCATATAATTTTATTAATATGCTTCACAGTCACATCTATTCAAGCAAATTGCCTTAATATATGATAAAAGATAAATAAAAGAAAAAAAGGAAAAAATATATGTTAATGGTGCCAAGTTTTAGGAAGGTCATTTAATCATGTTTCACTCATCAATACAAATATTTTACATATAAATAATTTACACAGCTGCATTTTATACAAACAATATAGGCATTCTAAACCTGATAGCCTTATATAAGTTTTCAAATACTGTATAAATTTGATCATACCTCTTTGGGAGTTTCCATTTTGTATGTCAGGAGATCAGGATTGTACTTCCACCCTCTTCTTTGATTTAGTTGAATGATGATGGACAGAAACACCTCTACAAATGCTTCTACAGATACTAGTTCTTCATTACCATATGGCAGGAGACATGAATTTTGAACCATTGATGATAGAGGAGGAAAGGCTTGCTTTTTACCATTTGTTGTTTGCAGGAATGGCCTGATGGCTGGCTGTGTAGGATTGTAAAGGTCAGCCATGCGGCGCAGTACAGGGATTTCCACTGTTGTCAGCAGACTCAGAACCAAAGCAATGTGCCTCCTAGCTAATGATGGTCGAACTAGGAGAACCTGCCGCAACTCTGGATCTGATACACAATGGAGATAGCCAGCTTCCCTTTCTCGTGCAATTGGTAAAACACCATCTTGATTGGTTGAACTACTAAGTTGCTCAGGACTTAAAGTATCTAAAATTGGTGAAGCGCGAGATGATAACAAAACTTGTAGCTTTTCTAGGTAAAGTCCTCGAGATGCAGCTAAATACTGCAGTGTCTCCCAACGCCAAGCACCTGCAGCAAGTGTTAATGACAAAACTTCATCATAGTGCTGATTATCCCTGAGAAAAAGCAGTAAATTTCTCAAGGCTTGTTGTTGAGGAGGAGGCTTGCGAGGCCCTGGCAGACACAAGTGATGGAGATGACACATAATAGCCAGATTGGCCAAATTTCGCCGCTCCTCAACACCCAAATCTGGGCCACTAACACCACTTGTCAGAGTACCCATATAAGTGAGGAACTCGGTAACCAATCCCTGGGCAGCAAACTTGATTGAGCACTTCACATGGGGGCACTGAAAAAATGAGAGACTAAAGTTACAGAATAAGTTATCTGAAATCAGCTAGTGGTTCTGGGAATTATCATCCTCATGGCCTAGTCTCAGACCAGGCATCCTAAGTTGGAAAGGAAATATTACAGGATTCAGAGCTATCAAGAAGCACATAAGATCAGTAATTCTGCCAGTGTAAAATATATTAACAGGTTTCCATTTAACATTCACTGGACTAGATGGTAGTACCTCCCTGTATGGTTGCTATCTACCAACCTTTAACCTTGACCTGAAGGAAATGAAGTTGCAGAGGTGATAAGAAATGTGTGGGCAAAAAAAATACTTGTCAATGAATGCAAAATGGAGAATGTATTAAAATATGAGGAGAAGAAAAAAAAGTGCTTCAAAGCTGAATATTTAAATGTTTTATAAATTCCATATATCTGATTACATAAAAAACAACATATGCACTAACTTAGAGAGTTAATTGAAAAATCCAGAAACAGGGATTAAATTCATAAATAAAAAGTTATTCTTCTTGTGGGACATTTACCTCTAGACTGTTAAGCATACAAAATATACTGTACTATAAATGACAGTGTAGAGGAGTTTAATATACAGTACTATATCATAATAAAAATTAACAGCACATTACATTCTACACCAAATAAAGTGAAATACTTTTGAATACCATGAACTATTCTTACCCTCGAGTGTTTGTACAGTGCAATGGCAGTACTGAAATTACGTGACCGTAGTTTAACATCTGCTGCCAATTCGAAAAGCTTGGGGTCCAGAGAAAAGATGACACCAAGTTTGTTAGCACTGTCTATATCTCCAGCCCTGAGAACCAGGTTCATGAAGAGAGATTCCACACTTGTTCTGAGGACGGAAGAGAAAGGTTGGAAAAATAACAGACTCCTCTTGATTGGAACAGTGCACAAATTACCTGTACATAGAAGAAAGAAACTTATGACAACATTTCAGTTTGATTTGGACCATTAATTAGTCCAAGCTGGACCAAAACATCTTCCTAAGTTTCTTTCTTCTATGTGCAAGTTATTTGTGTAGACTCCTCTTTCTTGCATAAAGTAATGGGATATATTTAGTCCCAGTTCATGAAGATCATGACAGTCAGTGAAAGGGTTAATATGCATCTTTTAAAGCTTTACCACAAGTACTGTATTGTAAAGTAAAAGGCCATCACTCTTCTGTCAGTAATTTGGTCATCAGTATCCATTATCAACATGATCTAAATTGCAGTAGTTTGTGCTCAAACTATTTATGCATATCCTGAGAAATATTCTGCCACCTATTCATTTATTTCTTCCCTTAAAACCGCATACATTACCAAGACTTGAGACTACATCTTTCAAGTTAATCATGTGAATTAAAACTAAAATAGAGGAAGACCTTACCTTGGCTGGCAAATATAGAGAGCTTTTGAGGTTAGTATTAAGCACCCATGAGGCCATGTATGTGTTGGCAATTCTATGTCTTCTTCATCATCCTCGCCTCTTGCTCTTCCCATTACAGATGATCGACCAGAGCACGAAGGGCTATTGTTAACTTCCAGTGACACCAGAGAAGGACTTGGATAGAGAGAGAGAATTTCTTCGTCTTCTGGTAATTCTATTTCTTGTATAACTGGATTGATTTTGCTATCCTAATGAAGAACATTATGAATTTTTGTAAATGAAATTTTTTGTATTTTTATTTTCGTTATTGCACAACTTTCATTATTTTTTTGCTCCACTTCAATTGTCACAAAAATCTAAATCTTAAACAAACGAATACATTTTATGAAAAGTTATTATTCAAAAGGAGCAACCAAATATTTATATAAATAAAAATCTAACACACTCACGCATGCATGCTGGGTGCTCAAGCCTTTACTACCTAAAAACCCCTTCATAACCTTAATTTGACCCTTTCTGGGAGAATCCTTACTCGTTCTTCCCACATTATACACACTCTTGGTCATCATATGCTGAGCCAATCTCTCTAAATGCCCAAACCACCTCAAACTTTCCTCTACCCTTCGAATAATGCCTTTACTAATCCAACACCATCTTTCGATTTCTACTTTCTGAATTCTTTGTGTAATATTCACACCACACATTGCTCTCAAACATCTTTACTTACTATTGTCCCATCTATTTTTGAGGAGGAAGAAAAGAATGTAGACACCATTGTGATCTTCTGACAAGATTCAGTGTCAGATAAAAAAATCATCTCATCTTGAAGCACCACCTTGTCAGCATTTGGAATAATTTTGAACACATAGAGTGGTGTTGGTTCCAAGTCAGTGCTGTATACCTGTAACAAGGGAGAAGAGTTAAAACAAAAAACAAGAGGGTTCCCAATTTACAAATGATGCTAGTTACAACTGGACTAGTGTGTTAATGCCTGCTATGAGGATGAGAAACAGATTAGGTGCCAGAACCATGCCATGGGTTACTGAACTTTTTAGTTTGCTAAGACTAGATTTTGCATTGTTTACTACTCTTCATTCTATCTACCAGAAAACTGGATATACACTATCCTACTTTTCCTGTTATACCAGTTGAACTTATGTGCTATGACTCTATCCGATTTCTCAAATACCTTAGTAAAGTTCATGTAGACCACATCTGTTTTTGGCTTTTTTCCACACCCTCCCTAGTTGTCATAATGATTTAGTAGCTGCAATAAATGTGATGCTCCTACTCTAAATCCAGCTTCACTTTGGCTGTGTAGATCATGCATTTTCAGAAAATTTCCAATTTGGAAACTCACCACCCTTTCAAAATCTTTTATGATGTGTGATGTTACTGCTGCTAGTCTGAGTTTTTTTGAGAGAACTCTACGACCTCCTTTGTATGAAGACATTATAACTTTGAATTACAGGGCCCCCATCACAAATCCGGCAATCAGACATCCAGTTACATCAGTAATTTGGCACTAATTTCGGCTAGCATAATTTCAAATTTCCAGGGTCGCCACACCAACCTGCTGGTATTATTTGGTGCCGCTACTTACTGCATAAGTCATTCCAATTTCTTTTTCTCCATTTATTGTTACGTGTATAACCTGCTCTGCTTACTTTTAGCCCTAGCCATGGTTCCAACAAATAAAAGAAATGTTTCTCGTTGTGTAAAGCATATACACAGTACGCTGTCCATAAAAGATAAGGAGGCTTTGACGCCACTGTCAGCCGCCATGAGCTCAGTCTCGTGATGCAGGGGAATATGCGTTATTATTATGCTAATATCAACACTACGGCTTATTTGCCTATCATAACTCATCTAATATGGCATAATAAACAATATAAATAACAAAAACATGTTAAATACTCCAGAATTAATAATATTTGGCATAATACCGAGCGGTTTGACAGAGGTATGAAGAGGATATGGGATACAAGTACCATTCTCCTATCCCTGTCTTGGGGGCTTATATTAGTGAAAACGGAGTATAGCGCAGGGCTAACTGCGATATACACTTGTATTGCACCATAAAATTGAAACAAAAAAGCAATTTTCTCTACGTAGATTAGGATAACCCAAAAAAGTCAAATAAAGTGGCTTATTTCTAGTACCTGGCTTGGGCTTGCCATATATGATTTTTGGTAAATATTCAATTCCCAGCCAGGGTAGAAACACTGGGCATGTTTCTTTACACCTGTTGTCTATGTTCACCCATCAGTAAATGGGTACCTGGGTGTTAGTGGACTGGCAGGGGTCTTAGCCTGAGACACTGACCTAATTTACCTGAAATGCTTAGCATAACAAGGGGCTTTCTGTATAGTAGTATGTCATTGATGTCAGCTAGGCCTGTATGCCTTGTACATGTTTTTTTTTTTTTTTTCAACAAGTTGGCCGTCTCCCACCGAGGCAGGGTGACCCAAAAAAGAAAGAAAATCCCCAAAAAGAAAATGCTTTCATCATCATTCAACACTTTCACCACACTCACACATAATCACTGTTTTTGCAGAGGTGCTCAGAATACAACAGTTTAGAAGCATATACGTATAAAGATACACAACATATCCCTCCAAACTGCCAATATCCCAAACCCCTCCTTTAAAGTGCAGGCATTGTACTTCCCATTTCCAGGACTCAAGTCCGACTATATGAAAATAACCGGTTTCCCTGAATCCCTTCACTAAATATTACCCTGCTCACACTCCAACAGATCATCAGGTCCCAAGTACCATTCGTCTCCATTCACTCCTATCTAACACGCTCACGCACACTTGCTGGAAGTCCAAGCCCCTTGCCCACAACCCTTTCGAGGACGACCCCTACCTCGTCTTCCTTCCCCTATAGATTTATATGCTTTCCATGTCATTCTACTTCGATCCATTCTCTCTAAATGACCAAACCACCTCAACAACCCCTCTTCTGCCCTCTAATACTTTTATTAACTCCACACCTTTTCCTAATTTCCACACTCCGAATTTTCTGCATAATATTTACACCACACATTGCCCTTAGACAGGACATCTCCACTGCCTCCAACCGTCTCCTCGCTGCTGCATTTACCACCCAAGCTTCACACCCATATAAGAGTGTTGGTACTACTATACTTTCATACATTCCCTTCTTTGCCTCCATAGATAACATTTTTTTGACTTCACATGTACCTCAATGCACCACTCACCTTTTTTCCCTCATCAATTCTATGATTAACCTCATCCTTCATAAATCCATCCACTGACACGTCAATTCCCAAGTACGTATCTGAAAACATTTACTTCTTCCATACTCCTCCTCCCCAATACCCTCATCACCTTACTCTTTTCTATGTTCACTTTCAACTTTCTACCTTTACACACATTCCCAAACTCATCCACTAACCTTTGCAATTTTTCTTTAGAATCTCCCATAAGCACAGTATCATCAGCAAAAAGTAACTGTGTCAATTCCCATTTTGAATTTGATTCCCCATAATTTAATCCCACCCCTCTCCCGAACACTCTAGCATTTACTTCTTTTACAACCCCATCTATAAATATATTAAACAACCATGGTGACATTACACATCCCTGTCTAAGACCTACTTTTACCGGGAAGTAGTCTCCCTCTCTTCTACACACCCTAACCTGAGCCTCGCTATCCTCATAAAAACTCTTTACAGCATTTATTAACTTACCACCTATTTGTATTTGTAGTAAATAAAGATATTATAATCATTATTATTATTATTAATTATTATATTTTTATCTCACTTGTTTGTTGGGCTATCTTATTGAAACTTGGGCAATGTATGACTGAAAGATGCTTCTTAACGTACACCAAAAATGAAAGAAATCGGACCATAAATAACGGAGTTCACTTCTCAGCCATTAGCTGCCCCTTAGCAGTATATTTTATTATGGTTTTTATGGTTGTATTCTCGTTGTTTTGGTCTTATTTGATAGAATTGAAGATATATTACAGAAATAGATATGATTTTGACTGCTTTCACAACGAAAAGCGTACTTTGAAACTGAGCTCAAAATAGCGGAAATGTTCGATTCTTAGGCAATGTTCAAGAGTAAACAAATGATGTCACCGTCTAATATGTGTCAGCCTGCCAGTCCAAACTCCAATATGCAGTCACGAATGAGTTGACATTATTTACGCAATTATTACAATAATGCAGTAGTCTGCATAACAGTAAATCTTCTATTTTTTGTGTGAATAAAAATTCCAAATGGTAAGCAAGAGTAACATAAGAGGGGCCTAGAGCCGTGACTAATGAAAAGAGAAAATGTTGTATTTTAGTGCCAGGAATGTCTGCAATGTTTATTCTGGATCCTACTTTGAAATTGGCATCTGTTGAAATTTGTGTGAAATTGGCCAAATTGCCAATTTCTGACCACTTTACTGGGTAGCTGAAATAGGTGAATGGGCGATTTCTTGTACTCAGTCGACAGAACAGAAGTAAGTTTATTCAGGTATACACAAATACAGTTACATAGATCATCATACGTTGCAATGTATAGAGAACCTGGGATACCCCAAAAAAGTCAGACAAAGTGACTTATTTCCAGTACCTGGCTTGGGCTTGCCATACCTGGAGTTTACCTGGAGAGAGTTCCGGGGGTCAACGCCCCCGCGGCCCGGTCTGTGACCAGGCCATATATGATTATTGGTAAATATTTTTTTTTGCTCAGTTGTTTGTTGGGTTATCTTATTGAAACTTGGGCAATGTATGATGGAAAGATGCTTCTTAACCCTTTGACTGTTTCGGCCATATATACACGTCTTACGAGCCAGTGTTTCAGAAGTATATATACTCAATAATTCCAGCAGCTTCAAATCAAGCAGGAGAAAACTGGTAGGCCCACATGTGAGAGAATGGGTCTGTGTGGTCAGTGTGCACTGTATAAAAAAAATCCTGCAGCACTCAGTGCATAATGAGAAAAAAAAACTCTGACTGTGTTTTTGGATTAAAATGCTGAATTTGAGGTGTATTTTCATATAGTATTTATGGTTGTATTCTAATTTTCTTGGTCTCATTTGATAGAATGGAAAACATGTTACAAAAAGAGATGATTTTGATTAGTTTCACGATGAAAATGACCTTGTAATTTAGCTCAAAATAGCGGAAATATTCAATTTTACCAATGTTCAAGAGTAATCAAATCACACCACATGTCCAATACACGACAACTGGGGAGTCTAATATTCTTTCACTAGTGCACTGATATTATTTATACGATTTTTACAATAATGCAGTAGTCTGCATAACAGTAAATCTTCTATTTTTTGTGAATAAAAAATCAAAATAGAAAGCAAGAGTAATATAAGAGAGGCCTGGAGACATGACTAATGAACAGAGGATATGTTATCTTAGTGCCAAGAATGTCTGCATTGTTTATTCTGGAACCTATTTTGAAATTTGTATCTTCTTTAATTTGCGTGAAATTGGCCAAATTGGCCAAATTGGGTAGTTGAAATTGGTAAGTAAGTGGTTTCTTGTAGTACTCAATTAATAGAAAAAATGGAGTTCTCAAGAAATAGCTATGAGCTTGGTCGACTGGAACAATGGAATTGGTTGAAAATAGGACTCAAAGTCGGCGAAATCACTGATGCGTATATATCGTTGTATATATTATGGAATTACGCTCCCGCGTAATTCCATAAGTTTTCGATCAAATTTCGTACTTTTGGTGTCAATACCACTAGAAAAAGATTCTCTATCATTTCATAAGAAAAAGTAATTTTTTTTTTTTTTTTTCAAAAAATTTTGCGACACCAGGAGACACTTCAGGATTTGGGGTTGCGACAGTCAAAGGGTTAACGTACGCCAAAAATGAAAAAAAAATTGGACAATAAATAATGGAGTTC